GTACAGGAAATAGAACGAGGAGGAAGAGACCAGTTCCTGTGGGAAGACATGAAGTGTAGCAAATGAGAGGGCATTTTTTTTCGATGTCCTGACACTGTCTTGGGCCTAGCTGGCACTGGATCAGAGAGACGGGGTGCAGCTTCTTCGTATAATTCTTGGGGTTTTGTGCTGTCATGGATAACAACCAGAATATCTCAAGTAATTTACCTGTGTATCAGCTCTATTGACCTGACCACTGCAGCAATTTGTGATACTCACCCTGCATTTTAAATCTAGTGATATCATCCAGAGGTGTTTCTTAGATTTATTGGGAAAAAAAGGAGTTAAATCACAGCTTTTGACCTTGGTGTGTGCTGCATGTGGAGAAGTAATACTCCTATCTGAATGGTCCTGGAAATCTTTCCCATTACTTTTTCAAAACTTGGAACCCAATGGAGATTTCTGTTCTGCCACATGTTGAGACTTTGGCAAACCCCTTCTTCTCTCTTATGTCACTTCTCTGTCAAGAACCAATATTTGCACTAGTCTTCTGCCTTTTAGATGTTGTTATTTTGTGTCACAAGCCCAATTCAGGCAGTGGTGTGCTCTGCTTTAAAACAGCAGCAAAAAGACAACTCTTCTGACTTACAGGATCGACTGAGTGTTGTTATGGTAAATGAACGTGGTTACAGATTTAGGCAGTTTAATGTAGTTCAATTAAATATGTCTAGTGAACTGTTGTCTTAGTGTGTTTTAATTGCAGAATGAAATAGATGCATAACTACCCTGGGATTTGTCAGCTTTCTTTAAAGAAGCCAATGGAAGGAAATGTCAGTTGTATGTTATTTTGATCGTGAACTCCTTTGCTTTTCTGAATGAGAGTCTTTGCCATGGTAATAATCTAAAGGGAAGGTTTTTAAAAGAGGCTGGGGGGAGGATTTACTCTTCTTTAGGTTGCATATTTTAGGGGAATGAAGTTGGGATTTAAGTTATTCCTCACTGTTTCCCAGGTGGGTCTCAAGAGTGGAAGTTCTTTCTTACAGTGCTGAGGTTGTAACAGAACAAGGACGTGAGGCTCAAAACACTGTAATTTTGTGTCTCTATTCACTCATGTCCTCATGTATTTGAGGTTTCTGTCACTTTGCATTGGGAGCTATGGACAGAGCAAAAATCCAGTTCCAGACTCAGGAGTGCTGCTCTCTTCCCTGTGGATGTTTCATTACTTACACTTCGAGCAACAGTCTTGCCGTGGTTTATTTTTAATTACGGTAATGCAGCTCTGCATAAAATTGGCCAGGGCTTTAGTGCTTTTAGGAAAAATGTGCCTTTAGTGACCCGAGGAGAGTGGTGCAGCAGAGCTGTGCCCAGGAGTGAGCAGGTGTCCAGTTTGGAAGTTGGCTGATCCCATCCTGTCCGTGTGCCAGACCTGGGCCTTTCTCTGTGTTGCGAAGGTGGCTCTCCAAGCACGGGTGTGCTCGTGGTGCAGTGTCCAGCTGCTGTGCACACACCTCATTTCACAGCTGGAAATACAGAATTTGGAATGAAGAAAAATCCTTTCACACCTCTGTCTTTGCATGGATGTAAATTGGTTCCTGGCCACAGTAGTGCTTCCCTTTTGTCCAGGCATGTAAGGCTTGATTACTCCTTTCTGTGCATAACTCTCAGCATGTGTTGTTGAATCATTGGAGCTTCATAAAATGATAAAGGTTTATTGTGGGTTTGACTGTTTTTACAAAATTGTCTCAGTTGTGTTAGAAATACCTTGAAAAAATGGACTTGCCAGCTGTAATTACTGGGCATTGGCAAACACACAAAACAGGGCTTTTCTCAGTGACTGACATCTCGTTAATTATGTTGTTTTGAAGAGATGAGAACTAATTCTCATTTTTCTGTATTTATTGTTTTGTTAAATATAAATCTGAGATTTTAAGGTAGGTTTATATTTTTCTTTTAATTACCAAGTGGAACTGATTGCAATCACTTTCTTTTATTAAGATATTTTAAGAAGGAAACCTACACTTTTTCCCCATCTCTTTCATAGTTTTAAATACAGTTTGTCACTGTTCTTGTAAGTTATTTCTTCCAACAACTTCTTTTTTTCTTCAGTAATGCCCACACCTATAACCATATGTAGTTTTATTTAGTTGTTTTTGAATGTCTTAAATAGTCTTGCTGAGCCAGTATTTCAGATAGAGGTGTGTTATCTTTGAAAGGAGTCTCTACTGAAAATTTTGCGGGAGAAAATGAATACTGTCATCCTGGAAAAACTAATTTTAATGTGAAATGTGGGATAAGTGCCAGATGGAAATGCTCTTTCAAAGGGTATGCACTTTTTTTTTAAAAAATGCTTGTCAGTAGTGAGTAGAGAAACTTTCTTTGTCAAGTTCCTGCAGTGATGGAAGGAAGGGAGAGCTGTGTCTGATCCCGCTGTTACTCAGATCCACAAGCACTGCTGCATCAGAAAGGTGTTCATGATTTTCTGCATTAAGTGGGAGCTGAAATGAATTCCCTACCAGTGGAATGGACTGTGAGAGGAAAGAGGTTGTGGAATACCCGTTTTCCCCTCGCTTCCTGTCTGTATTCCAGCAAGGAAATGGGACTGGGTAGTGACAAAAGTTCCTGTGGCAGCAGAGGGGGGAATAAATATGGGAAGAGCTGTTTGCCCATCACCCATGTGTACTGATGTGTGTAAGGGATTAATAAATACCAAGAAATTTATCTGCAGGCACTGAGCTTTTGGAAGTGTTACAGCAGATGGGCAGCAGGACTTGGATTGTTACTTCGTGAAATATTTGGTCTTTCCTCAATTTCTAGCACTTTGTGGTGAAATTTTTGTGCTGGAGCCTGTTGAGAGGGCACAGCAGTGTTCATATCTTGTTTATCTTCAGTTAGTAGGTGTTCAGTGTTTTTCAAGGCCTGATGTAACACCCCCTCCCTTTTTACTGTTGCCCAGTCTGGCAATAGAGATTGCTTTGTTCTTTTTTTTGCCCTTTGAATGCACAAAAGATTTTCACAGCTTCCTTCATTCGTGAAGAGGGAAGGAGAAGGAGATTTCTACACCAAAACTGAATGCATTTTTATTATTTCCTTTTGCAGAGTGTTGTCTAAGAGCAATATGGATTGCAGCGTGTGCGTGTCCTGTCAGGGTGATGATTAGGAGATGGACTGGGAGGGTGAGCTAAGAAAAAAAAGGAAGGCACTGTATTGAGTCACTGATCTTAAAAACAACTGAACTCCCTCTTAAATGTTATAATCAGTACAATGATTCTTGTATTACCCATCAAATGTTTCATGAGAGAAATGGTGATATATTTAGAAGCTCCTCTACGTAATGCAAAGGGCGTGGAAATTAAATCTAATGATGTGTCAGAGTAATCAATAAAGCTACTGGGTTTTGGAATAAGTGTAAATGTACAATGCTGTCTTTGCTCCTGGGAGAATTCAAATCAGTTGCTGTTAGAAGTCTTGCTGGATTCAGAGGTCTGAGAATTTG